GGACGGGAGGGTGGTTAATTAGGGTGGGACAGGGAGGGAGAAAGGGTGGGGCAGGAATAAGCATTAGTTTAGAAATGCACATCATTTGTGGCGCGATTAAGAGATAGTTGAGATAGGTGGGACAACCTAGGGAGACAGGCGGGGGGGAGGGGCATTAAAGAGAAACTCACGGCATTCCCGGTGGGGCTCATCAGATCCATCACCACAATCATCATCCAGATCACATTTCCATGCCTCGGGAATGCAGAATCCATTGTCACACTGGAAATATCCCTCTGAGCACTCGTGAACCCCTGTAGGGCGCAAAAATGACACCAAGAGTCATGAGTAACGGGAGTGTATCTACGAAGGCTATCCATGGATGTCAGTGGAATCACACAAAACTGTGCGGAAAGTGTGTGGAAATAAGTAGGTTAACTGGTGATTCCATCACAAAAGTAATACCATGGCCGAGATAAGTGAGACATGGAATAATACCCCAGCAAGTGATTATTACCTGAACTTCATACACAGTAAACTCTCGATAACTCGAATCTCGGGGAATGGATAAAAAATTTTAGTTATCTGGGTTTCGAGCTTAGGAAAGTTATTGGGTCTCGCCCACACAGACACACACAGTACCTTAAGTATTACTGCTTGCCCCTGCTGTGGCTATTGGAGACATTATATGTGGTTATTTCCTTATATCCGATAAATTTCTTCTAAAAATCATAAGTTTGCTGAGATTACATGCTTTTCTTACGTAAAATTTTCTATTCTGTTGATAACTAATAATTCTATTGGGCTGCAATGGCGATCAGGCTTGCTTGAAAGCCAGGATTTGTTTAGGTTGTCAACGAGTCAATTACAACGGCACTGGCAGCAAGCAAAATGATGAAGTGCAGTTTGCAGAGACGACTCATAATTAAAGCCTCCGAGTAATTTGGCGATGGTCTTTTCTTTTTGTATTGGTTAAGATGGCTATGATGGTATTTTTGTATTGGTTACGATGGTATTTTTGTACATAAAAGCCTATTGTTTTGGCAGGAATGAAGAATGTCTTCAAGATAAGCCGAGTTTCGAGTTAACAAGCCTTGAGTTATTGAGAGTTTACTGTACATATAAAGATAAGCAAAAGAGAAAAACAAAACATATTAACTGGTATCACTGGGAGATCAACAGAGCAGGGACTTACTGCAGAGTGAATCATCTTCATCTGAGCCATCAGTACACTGAGAAATCTTGTCGCAGTTATAACGGCGACTGATACACCGCCCCGTACCTCGGCACTTGAACTGCCATGCAGCGCATGCTGTTGTGTCTGAGAAAAAGATTAATAATCGAGGCATTGAAATGAAACTCCAAAAACTGCTGTCCCCAAAAGCTTATGTTGGCACAGCGGCCTCAAGGGCAAAGTACACTTTCAGTCATCACCCTCAAAATAAACAAAGCTCATTTTCCTAACTGTACATTTAGTATAAAAAGAGCCCGGGTAAGATAATGCTTACTAAGAATTTTTTAAAGTGTGGTAGTGTCATTCTACATAAGCCTTTTGTGTCAAAAAATTTAGTTGCTTTAAAAAGTTAATTCATAACGCCAAATGAAACATTCAATTTTCCTTTCTTCTGCCTGTCAGTTTCCAAACTTTGCCACAGTTACATTTTTCTGTGAACTGTGCGAATTATGGTTATAAAACCTTGTCTACAGACACATTTAAGACTTTGAATTAAAAGTAGATGTTTCAAGGACAGATATAATCATCTGTAAATTTATAGAGCAGCTGCCTACCAGAGGATAAAGGCACAAGTCTGAATTCAAGCCACAAGGTATTGGATATGAATATTCATTGTGTGAAGAAATGACAAAGACGTTCCTCTGTAACTGTTCATCTTGTTACTCATGGTTGCTGGTCTTGTGAAGAGGCTTGCTGAGATGGAATCCACTACGACAATACTGTCTAAAATCTAACCCCCCCTTGAAGCTTTCCGTGGACTTACTGCATCTGGCCACTGTGCCTTCGTCGCTGTTGTCGGGGCAATCCCTGTCGCCGTCGCACAGCCACAGGATGGAGGTCAAGCAGTTGCCATCCTGGCACTGGTACTGACCTGGCTGACAGGTGCGTGGGGCTGTGAACAGGAAAAAAAAAATCCGCGTTGATAAACAAGGAACTGTCTGACTGATGTGTTAATGGTGTAGAATGTGCAAGGTTTATTTTTCGCAGAATGTGCACAAATCTGTGACACCTCTGCAGTGCAACTATAACAAATAGAAAGTACCCGAGTGTGGATGGCAAGCTCTCATCAGCCAATCAAGAAGAGACACAAGAGACAAAGAACCAGTTAAAGCATCACTGAGCCAATGACTGAAGTAAAAATAGTCAATCAGTCATCATGATGCCATTACTTACGACAGTTGACTTCATCTTCTCCACTCTGACAGTCATTTACGCCATTGCATTGCATATACCATGGAATGCACTGCCAACAAAAAACCAAAAAACAACAAAATTAGGCAAAACATACAAGCTTCACCCAAATGAAAAAAACAAACCAAACAGTGGCATGTACACATCTGATCATTCGTTTGTTTGCGAAATCCCCAAAGATTGCATCAAAAAATCCAAGGTCGACAGAAAAGCCTACAAGAGAGCACCGCAGTTTACTCAACTGCAGCATACTGACGTCTAGTAGGATTTATCACAGATATAATATCGAATCTGTGCACAAAGTACCACCTTGTCCTTGCAATGTAAGTGTGCAGGGATTTCCAGTATCCATAACACACAGGGCATTTGAACACTTCCTGGGGAATTCTGTACAAGGCAACATCCATATTATTTTGTCCCTACACTACAGTGATTCCCATTGAGTTTGTACACAGTAGCTGGAACGAAGTTACCCGTGCAGAGTGAAAATGACATTGTCTTTGAGTTTGAAAATGACACTGCAATAAGAGATGTTGTACAAATCTTGAGCAAAATGACCACCAAGGGGTCAACATTTCTCAAGACCCACTTTGGGACCGTCCTACCTTGTGTTCTCTAGTGCAGGCCAACTGTCCCTCGGGGCACAACGGGATGCAATCTACACCAGACAGGACATAGTTCTCTGCGCAGGCACAAGTGTAACTGGTACCCCCAGGAGAAATCAAGCACAGCCCCTGACATGGACTGCTCTGACAAATGTTATTCACTGGTGAAGGGAGAAACACAGAAACATCAAGTGTTGTGAGGCTCATTTTCAATGGACTACCCTGCAATGTTAGATAAGGAAACAACCATTTTCAAATTACCCCAAGCTTCACACTTCAGCAGACCTGAATACGGTCTGCTCTTTTGACGTTGCAGTCGTGTTTTTCCTACAGGGGGCTGCTTAAAGAATGGCTGGCCATCAATACACAACTACCACAATAACTCACAAAGAGGTACAGCAAAGAGAACACCAGGTAATGATGCATGTACTACTACACAGGAAATGAAAACACAACCCTATTTAAAATTAACAGGACAAATGTCCATTTTGAACGAATTTCAGGTAAAATAAAAAACTGACCATAGGGTTATATTGCTGCAAACCCTGGCCATTCACACAAGTTGTAGGCAAAATGAAAGTGATCTTTGTCAGGCTTGGTGAGTGTCGCAATTCTAATGCATTTTTTTCAGAAGCTTTTTGGGGCAAACACTGAATAAACAGTGTTATAATACATGTCGGGCAGGGCAAAAATCCAAAATCAATTAACCTCTCCACGGTGCAAATCCATCCTCGGAAATAATTCTAACACATGTTCGCTTTGCCAAAATTCTAGGCATAACTTTCTTGTGTGCAGATGCTCAGAATTTCCAGGAAACTGTGCCAAAAATGTGTACCATAATTTCAAAGCTTAAAAAGTCTGATCAGTATGTGGAAATAAAATAAAACACGTATTAAAGTGGACAGGTTGAATATATGTTTACCTCAGTAACTAATGTTCTATAAGTCCAAACTCTATTAATCTCCAAAACATCTGCCATTCCCGCAAAAAGAACAAGCTTTTTATGTACACAAATACCTCTGTAACTCAAAATACTCACACCACGTCATCCCCTTGTCTTGAAAATTTCGTAAGACTGACCCAACAAAACGTGTACCAACAAATGCGAGACAGAATTCATTTGTATAAAGTGCCCTTTTGTAGCTGGTGTGAAACCGCTTCTAGAAGCCTGATTGATACTCAGGTTTGATGTATTTAGTTTACGGTCAGCTATTTTGTTGACAATGGGGGCATCATGTTAGAAGGAAAATTGGCAAAACAAGTGATACTAAGTGAGAGTGACATTCTTGTACTTTGGTCATGCCAGCATGTGCACATGTTGATATGGGCCTACACGGTGATTTAATGGAGGCAGTAAATGCCAAGTGTCTGCGACCATTTTTGCGTCAATTGTGATAAAGTGTTTCCATATGATTGCATATCATTGGAGACTGATCAGCAATGCTCTCCACGTCTCTTCGTGTCAGTATGGAGAATTTGCAGAATCTTTTGAAAACATTTGTAAAAAAAGCACGGGACGAAGCAGTAGAACATTGAACTTTTTTTACGATGGAATACAGACAGCTAAAAGTGTTCATTTTTTTGTTGGTTTTCAGACATGCATTTCTATGGATGAATTATTTAAAGTAAAAAAGCGGGAGGGTTAGTGACGCATTTCAAAAAAGCAATGACAAAAGTGTGATAACTTGAGGCTTAACTTACGAGGGATCTGTCGTAGAGGGTGCACAACCTTGATGTCAAATGGTCGATGGACGGTGCTCTTGAGTTCCACCTCATCCCCAGAGTACTTGTTGGCCTTGAAGATCTTCTTCAGGTTCCAGTCGGTGAAGTAGATGTCCTTGTTGAAGACACTGATGCTGAAGGGGTGGGCAATGGTGTGCCGGATGTCGTCGTGAAGAAGTGGGTGGATCCTCTCAAAATTCAGATCTGAATAACTGTGGCAGTTGCGAAGAAAAAGAGAAACATTTACAAATGCAAGATTCCGTCCTACGGCTAATTCTGTGGAGGTGATGTCTTTGTAAGTGGCCACAGCAATTTGTGCATCAGAAAAGAATATATCCACTCAGCCCTTTGAAGATTTTAAAGTGACAAGTTATAATGATTATCACCATCAGGACGAACATCACCATTATCACTAGTATCCCCACCAGCAGCACCAACCTCATCAAACTTAACCCGGTCAACACAGTGACAACCACGCTTAAGTAACACTCAGAAATTGCATAAGCACACAAAAATGTTACTTTGCAAACAAACAACAAATAGGGTACCAGCCAAACTATGATGTGATCTATTTCTTGCTGCTTGTTTTTGGCGGATTGCATGTGATACTTTGCAATTTATCAGCCAAACTAGGCCTGGGCAGGGCCAGATTATCCAACAGGGTACACCGTGCCTGGGCTCACAAATTCAGCCTATGAAAAGCTTGACAACCTACATGACTTGTAGTAGGTGTGTAACAAAAACCAAATATCAACATTCAGACATACAAGAAAAGAAAAGTTTCTCTCACTGGATTTTCCATTCTTGTGTGTGAAAGCTTCAAATTAGATTGTTTATTGCTTTCTTGTTTACAGCTCACTCCAATTTACCACCAATTTGAAATGCCAGGCACAAGCATAAAGTACCTAGGGCATAGCAGGGACCGGTGGTGCCAAGGGCCTACAAAACACTTTAATCCAGCCCTGGCCAGTGGAGCATGCAGGAAAGGATTTACTTGGGCTAAAGATTAGTCAGGGACTTACGCCACATAATCCAAGTGGGCATCCACCCAATAAATCAAGCCTGATGGGTAGTCTATGGACAGACCGTTTGGCCAGCCAACCCTCTCGTCGTGGAGTTCCATTTTGCTTGAGCCGTCCATTCCAACACGGCCAATATATGGCCTAAGGCCCCAGTCAGCCCAGTAGGCGTACCTAATTACAAGGAAAAGTAAAAAATGTGTGTCAATAACAGTGAATTTGCTCCTAAATAATGCTTCATGCACCTGTGTTTTTCACCATAAAAGGCCATTTATGGGCATGTGTACGTAATCACGAATCTATTGGTAAAAAGGCCCATGACTGTCAGCTTCATACATATTCATAAGTGACTGCCATACTTTATCCTAGTCATTCTTTTTCCATGGAAGCATCCCATAATGTATTACACAAGAGCAAACATCATCTGCTCACCTTGCTTTAAAAATGGAGGCAATTATCAGAACATTACATTTCTGCTGGAAATCAGTTTTATATCTGGTTAGAGAGTTGGATGTGACGTATTCTTTGAAGTGGACAACTGAGAAATTAACGAAATTGCAGATATACATGTGTAATTAGGAAAAGAGAAAAAGGAAAGATATTTGTATGTTCATTGACATCTCCATGAATAGGAATGCTTGTGAACACAGAAACATATATTCTCCACTTCCTCAGCTATGTTGGACAGAGAAAATTCTTTATACCCTGAGAATATTTTAACCTGAAAAGAGCAGGGCCTTTTTGGACTTTCTTAGGGCTGGCAGGGGGGCAGATCCCACTCCCGTCTAAAGATCTCTCCTGTCCCAAACACAATCTTTCTAAAACTTGGCTTACCCTCAGAGACTTTGATAATAAGTACATCTTTAAAACTGAATTCAATTTAACATCAGCGTTTGTTGTCATTTATAGGTCACTGCGTCACGTGTTAACCTCACGTGCACTTAGCACACAGTGGAGAAAAGCTAATATTTGGGCCATCCTGCCTTGTAAAAATGGATGTTCCATCAGAACTATGATTTCATAAAATTACAAAAAACCTCCTGAAGGCTCTATACTGAGACGAAAAAAGCAGTGTGATGATATCAAAGAAAACATCAAGAGGTTCTTCCCACTCCCCTCATCTCTTTCAAGCTTAAATAAAAACAAAAACACAACTTTAGACACAGCTGAGGGCACGTGAAAACACGGAGAGAACTTGGCCAACTCAGCTCACCCGTGTTCGGGATCAAGGGCTAGTCCGCGGGGCTCAAAGAGACCAGAGCGGATGATGGAGAGCCGGTTGCTCCCGTCCAGCTCCGACACCTCCATCAAATCAGAGATATGGTCCGTCCAATACAGCTTCCTGGAGGGGAGGTTGAACAAATGCAATGATTAAAAGATTTGTAATCCATTTGTTGTATGTCAGAAATACATGAAGGGTATACTGTGTCAAATTACTCATCAGATCATGACACAGTATAGCTACAATAGGCATGCATTTATATGGCACTTTCCAGTGCCTCATAAGTACCCATTTACACTCCTGAGGGGACTGAGGCAAGTGATTTGCCCAAGGTCACAACATGTATAACTAGCCGCTAACTCCATTAAGCCTCACATCACCCACAGGCATATAATCCTTTCCATTTCCACAAGAATTCTTCCAACTTACTTGGTGACCCAATCAACGGCAAGCCCCTCGACGCCATACACCGAGTGGTTGAGGACTGTCTCCACGTTACCGCCGTTAATGTCCATCTTCAAGATGGAGTCGGTGAGGACGTCCGAGAAGTACAGCTTTCCTCCTGTGTAGTCGTAGTCCAGACAGACAGTCAGGTCAAAGTCTTGCTCCAAGCGCTGGTAATCAGTCGAGTTCACCTCCACACCCAACCGACGGATGTAGTATCGGTTGGCAAAGATGAGGTAGGGTTTGATTCCTGAGGGGGAGGAATAACGCTGAGTCAGATCAAAAGACTCATTTTTGTTCAACATCTGACCCACAATTCAATCAAGCAGTCAACTAGTAGGTGCATCTGAGGTCAGCCAAGCCTCTAGGGAAGCAATTCTTATCTTCTAATCTACTATTTTCTTTTGAGATTAAGTTCTAGGCAGATAGTTTGGTTCAAAAAGAAATCTAATGCTGTTTTTTTTTTCCTTTTATTTCATCACACAGGTATTGGGCCTACTCATTGTATTGCACCTACCTATTCAACTTGACAAATAAATCTTTCAATATTTGCAACATTTGGATACTTGTAATATTTGTATATTCAACACAGACCAATGAGAGCAGACAAAAGGAATGGGCTCGGTTGTCAATAAATGCTGCTTCAGGGGAAATTATAATGTGCATGAAAGTGAAACTTTGATAAAAATGTTGAGCACAGTGAATCCAGGGCATATCTTGTTCGTTAGTGTGACGTCACTTCAGATTAAACCATGCCCACTGCACATGCACTGCACATAGAGTTACGTGCATTGATCATCATTTACATGGAACCCTGAAACAGGAAGTTAACGCGCAACTTCAGTGATCGTCCAGTGGGAGCCTGTAAATTGTGGGCCTCCACCTGTAAGAAAAAGTCACCTACGAACCGGATAGTGTTCTCCCTACCCCTGGCCCATTGTCAGCTCCAGGTATAGGGGGATGTCACCAACGAGGGGGACACATCTCAAGAACAGTAGATAATTTGTGATGCTTATGGTTTTTGCTGATGGGGGAGGTGTGCTGCTTGCCCCTTGACAATGGGCCTGCCCATGCCTCCCTTATCCCCTCCCCCTTCCCAAATCCATTTCCATCAGGTTCTAAATTTTCTGACAAATAAATCCTATGTCGTTTTTAAATAATCTTGATTTTTTGGTTAATCACAAACAATTGTCAAATCCTCATATGTTAATCTCAAGTCTCTGGTCTTGGATCTAGTCTCAAGTCTCCAGTCTGAAGTAATTACATATAGACCATAACAAGGAAATCCTTTGGAGTTTTGTCATTACTGGTTAAGATTTCTGACCTAACTTGCAATTTATTTGGGATATGATGAGTTACTGACTTGTGATGGACCTGTGATGTATTTGCAAACTAATGATGATTTGACATGTGACTGCCTTGTGACTGACATCTTCTCTATTTGTGATTGACTTGTCTACAACTATCACCAGTCATACCTAATGAAACACCACAAGGCAAGCAATCTTTTTGAATGAGAATATAGCCCCTTTAGCAGAAGGAATATCTACATGTAATTATCTTTTACCTTTCACTTGATGCAATGCACAATTCTGTACCACAGATGAGAGCCTTGAAAGTTAGTATGGGGCCTACAGGTTTGTCATGCCATGAAAAGATTATCACATAGGTAGCTGCCGGACCTCATACTCACATGTACTGTGCTCAGGATTTGTTCTAAACTATCCTCTTCATCTTAAGTTCCAAGAGATTAATTTTGTCAAATTTGGAAGGAGGCAATGTCACGTGATAGGCCGCAGGCGCCATGATGTTGATATCGCCAGAAAGAAAGTGGGAGTATTTCTTGTGGGTGGAAGACGCAGCATGGACAGAGTGCAACTCACCACTGTTGAGGGTACAGTTGTAGCCATCAACCGACAAGGTGTAGCCCTGTGCGCAACTGCAGGTGTAGCCACCTGCATTGTTGATGCAGATCTGGTCGCACACCCATGGTGTCTCGATGCACTCGTTGCGGTCTGTTCAACAACCAAAACAAAATCCATCAGAAAATCCATGATGGTTGTTGAGGGCAGTCTTTGGGGGATGAAAAACTATTTTCTGTGGGTCATTTAATCCCCCCTCCCAGTGACTGGAAAAGGGGGAGAATGGAAAAGTTTGAAAACCACTGAAGCAATTGTAGAAATGTTATTAGAATTTAATTCTGAAAAATGAATGATGATAGTAATATTGTTCAATTTTTTTGAAGGAGACGAAATGCTGAAAAAGTTATTAAAACAGGTGATGTCACTGTACTGATCCTGTTGAATATTTCGTGTCCAAAAATAGAAGGGTGGAAAAACCGAAAAGAACCAAGGAGATTACTTTGTGCACAGTACAAAATGGGGGCCCTAGGCACATAAAGCAAATGGAACTGTTATTCAAACAACTGTTGCAGGTGGGATAAACCTTTTTCATGGGGAAGCCTTTTTTAATGAAAACTTGTGATCCATGTGAAACAAACTGACCCACAGTCTACAAGCCTTTGGACAGTCTAGGCATTGTTACTACACAGTAGTGCATATACACAAGCTTCTACCACAAAGACAAAAACCGCTATTAGATGATGTTTTGCTTTCTTCTCCTAGACTGCCCCAAACCCCCAAGTTCTTTCATGCATGGGCAGAAATCTCTCCTCGATCGTGGGGGGGGCCATCAATTTACACATTTTTGTGCACACCATGTTTAATATCTCATTCCATTTATAAAAACTCAAAAGGGAAAATCCTTAATCCATCAGTTCCTTTAGTATTTTGTCTTGCTTAAAACATGGAGGGGACATTCAAAATTATGTCCTCCCATATCAAATTCATGGGAGGGCATGTCCCCCGTCCCCCGGGATTTCTGCCCATACTTTAATGGCTACTGGTTAAAATACTTACCAACACATGAATGCTGGTCAGTGTCCAAGACATATCCATCAGGGCATGTGCAGTGATAAGACAGTGGTTCATCGACGCAGGCGTACTGACACGTCGTAGTGAGACACTCATTCACGTCTACATGCCAAACATGACAATGTGCATTAGGACCCATTTACACAGCAAGTGGTGCAAAGAAAATGCAGCGGTTCTCTGGGGAACTGTTTGAAAAGCGAGCCAACAGAAAAAAGTATAAAAACACTTAAATGGGAAAATGAAATATACCAATGGAGGTTGGCACAGTACTACTTCTTAAAGTCTTGTCACTTTTACCCTACCGATCAAAGACATCTTTCCTATTTGCAAAGAATCTCAAAGCAGTGCTTACAAGTCCATCATGAATCATTTTAAAATCTTGCTGTGATGAAGAACTACACTGAAGAACTATGACAAAGACATTCTTTCCCAATTGCTCATTCCATACCACTTGCTACTGTAACAGTGACCTGAGCTCCACCTACTGGCATACCGCGCACACCTTTCCAATTCTTTTAATACCTTTTTGGTTGGGTGCACTCTGCAGGTATGTAAGACTGCTGCACGTATTGGGGCATTGGTCATTCTTTTGGTTTCTTTATTTTGGTGGCCACTTTTACATTTGGGTTTCTTTGCCTTTAGCCCTGCCCTCTCCTCCAGCCCCGCACCTGCACTGGTCTTATTACTTGTGAGTGTTACCCGGTATTGTAATTTATCTACATTTGTTAATTTGCCTTTGGGATATCTTTGTAAATACTCATTTGCTTTGTGTGATTTCAATACTAAATTTGGGAGTTGCCCCTGAAGTCTGTCTTGTTGCCGTATGATTTTTGGGGGGGTTGTTAATTTGTATTCATTTTCTTATGCTCCGGCCTGCTCAGCCCACTTAGCCCGTTACACTACCATGCTTGTAATTTGCTTAAGAACTGACTTGTAACAAGACTTTACACCAGCACCAATGTAGCTACATGCAGAGCCAACCAACTCAGAAAATGCACCAGCCCCACTGGACTAACTAAAGCGTCGCTATCTGCTTTGGGTTTTGTTGGTTGGATCAGATATAATCATGGCATAAAAAATGTTGTTTCATACCATGAACATCAATCGATGGGGAATTGGGGAGGGGGATATGTTCCCCGACTTTAAAAAGTGGGGTATCAATATCATATCGTTTGTAAGACCCTCAATAAAAAATTGCAGGGGGAATATGCCTCAATGTGATTCATATTTGAGACTAGCTATTCCATGACAAATAAAAAGCTACAACGTTGATACATGTACACCATTCAGTGTTTGGTACGGTGGTGCCCTGTACATTATTTGAAAAATAAAATAAATTTTGCAAAAGCAGTTGCTAAAATGATTTGAGTGGTCAGAAAATAGCCGAGATCGCACCACAGCGCATCTAGAATACTAAATTTTCCCGGGCCCTTAAGCCGGTCCTAGACCCCACGTCGTTCGGGCTTTGTGCTTGCATTAGTTCTGATCAAGGTTATGCCTCTTGCCCCTCCCACACTTTTGAAAAGTGATTGACACTCAAGGTTCATACTTGGCATGGCATGAAACCAAACATCAAATGCGGAACTGTGATGTCTGATCCAATAATCGAGCAAAAATTCACAAAATTCAACTCAAGCCAATTCCCTGGCAAACCTTCCACACTGTCAGATTTCTGCTCCTTTCAGCTTCACCTAAGGCATTAACTTGCCCAACCAGAACACACTCCAAACTATCCATACAATCCCTGCTGGGTACTCACTGCAACTACTGCCCTCATCTGAGCTATCAACGCAGTCATTGATGCCGTTGCACACACTGCTTGCATCAATGCACTGCTTGTTAAAACACTGGAACTGGCCTTCCAGACACTCTGTATTTGTTTATAAAAGGAAATGGGGGAGTACACGAGTAAATGAAATTTAATCAACCTGACAACTGACTAACATTCTCCAAATATTATCCCGAAGCACGGAAAAAGCAGGGTGTTTGAATTTTTCTCCCACTTATCAGTACACACATGCTTAACAGATGATACACTTTATGAAAGTCTTAAAATTCACGTCATTCGTGTCTGCACAATAGCTAAGTTTCATTTTGAGACTCCAATATTGCATCCATTTTCCTTTTAAGCAGAAAACATCATCACTGTCTTCTGACAAAGGGAATGGACTCTAAGCAAAGCTAATATCCTTGTCTGCGGCAAAGAAAAAGAGCAAGCTACTGCTGTTGCAGCTCCAACAATAACACAAAACACAATGGTGGGTTTGTGCCCATTCAGATGAAAATCTGTCATGTGTTCACTCAATGAGATGTTGCAGACTCTTGCAGAGAGTCCCTAAAGACTGTGTATACAGTCTTTCAAAGTGGCTGTGAGAGGAAAAGGGACCTGACTTTCCAAGACCCCCCCCTTCCCATAAAACAAATTCTCGGCTTACCGCAGTTTTCTTCATCGGAGTTGTCCCGGCAATGATCGAAGCCGTCACATTGATTTGATATGGATATACAGCGCCCGTTGTTGCACGTGAACTGGAAAGTACTGCAGCTAGGGTATACTGAAGTCATCAAAAGAAAGGAACCCTATTACTCCAAACAATGTCAGCTTCAGTCCAGAAATGGGTCAACCTTCTCATTTACTGTGAGGTTGGTGTCCTTGGATAAGAAAAAATCATTGCTGATATCAAAGGACCTTTGGAGATATGATGCTAAGGGTTTTTAGACATTTTTTTTTAAATAGATGTGACTTACTGCATGTATTTCCTTCATCACTGCCATCCCCGCAATCGTTGTCATGGTCACACTGATACCACAGCGGAATGCAAAGGTTGTTGTCACATGTGAATTCGTAAAACTGGCAAGGCTCCGGAGTCCCTAAACAAAAATATGTCACCACAAAGGGAACCATAATGTCTGATAAACTGAGAAGTATATTCAAACACAAAAGACACAAATGTACGTAAATGTAATGTTCATATATACCGCATTATTTGATAGAAAAAGAGAGCAATTCAATTCCTCCAAACAGAGTCTCTAATTTTGTCACTTTAGGGACATCTTCTTAAAAAGACAAGGATTCAAAAGTGATTGACGAAAGCGGAAGGAAATGGCCAAAATCATTTTTTCGAGACAAATGGATTAAGTTTGAACAACAAAGCTTTCAGTTCAACCGATGCGTATCCACAATCTCAAGAGCTGATGGGTTATTTAACCAGCCATTCAGGAAATGCAGATGCACAATAGTATACAAATAATGCATGTTTATGAGTGTGATAGCCTCGGGGAATAGATCGTTTCATCTGTCAGCGAATGCAATTATTCATACCATCGCATGAATATGAAATATTTATTATTTGTTTTTAAAATCCTCGTCATTGGATTAGTTTACTTGCAGCATATTTCATTTGTCTCTTAGTGCTGGCATGCATTGACAAGCTCATCAATTTCTCCATCAGTTAAAATTGCAAACGTCAGATCTAAGTCCGCCATGTTGCTCTGAATATTTTGGGCCACAGTGCCACCATGCAGAAGTTGCAGTGAAATCAATCCAGAGGTGTTCATTAACCATTTCTAACGCACAGTTGCTACAAGTGTTTTGCACTCTGCGTGTGCGTTGCACGTGCGTCATGCACTAGATGTGTGTTGGTACAAATAATTCAGTGCCATGTGATCAACAATCCACCAATCAGATGATGGGGATTTATGCAGGTGTTGCATAACTTAAACTAGTGTCTGTGGCTAGACAAAACTTGTTGACTCGTTGCATTCTGCACCCTATGCTCTTACCAGGTGAACATCAAATTGATAACTCTACATTTCATTTTCCAATGTGAGGTTCCGAATGAAATCAGGCTCCCTAACAATCTAGAAAATTATTAAAACAACCAAGGTAGGACCTGTCTTCTAAGCTGAGGAGTTTTGAGAAGTGCTTCGATGGTTACTATGCACTAACTGTTGGTGGGTTGAGCTGAGTTTAGCTGGACTGGACCGTAACTGGACAGGACAGGACTGGGCTTGACCGGGTTGGGTTAGGCGGAATTGGATTGTCTCAGGTTAATTGGGTGAGGTTGGGTTCAGTTCCTTTGGGTTTGATTGGGTTGAACTGGGTAGATATTTGTTTCTTTACCACACATGGTGATATTCTCATCCTCTGCGTATTCACAGTGGCTGGTTCCATCACACAGAAGGTCCAGTGGGATACAGCGGCTGTGGCCAGGCCGATTGCGCTGGCAGGTAAAGTAACGTGTACTGTCACAAGCATGAGTGCCTGACATAAGGGGAGAGAAAATTATTAAATGAACCTCACTGCAAGGATTCATTTGAATGGGGGAAATGTACAGAGGTGGTCTTGCTCCAAAAATAAAGCTACACTGCCTGGCAAAGAGGGTCGTGGAAAGTTATTCAACCAGGCTTGTAAAGGTGTCAAGCGCACGCAAACAAAGACTGTACATACAGAAAGAAACTGGTAGCGTGCGTTCAGCATGTCCTGTATCAAATGTGCATGAAGCTTCACATGCACACAGTGAAGCTGCTAGCCACGTAAAACACGCCCACTCTTGTTCCTACTTGAAGCAGATTGAAAACCGGGTATTTTCTTGGGAGACCTATAATCCTTTGGAGCAGGATCAAGATGGATCCTTTTCAGACACATCTTTTCAGCCCATGTCCATACAGCCAAGGTTCCTTGCCATGGACTCCATTCAGGACCTACGGATGTGGCTATTCCAAAGTCATCTGTGCACTGACACACCTTGATTCTGCAGGTTGTGTTTCCAGCTACCATAAAAAGGCTTCGGGACTTAGAAAAAAACGGACTCTATACAGAAGATAAGTCAAACGCAAGGGAACTTACTGCAAGAGTGTAAATCCTCACGCTCGTCTGAGTTGTCACCGCAGTCGTCCTCTGTGTCACAGATCCACACGTTGGGAATGCACCGACGACTGTTTAAACACTTGAAGTGATCGGTGGGACAAGTGTAATCGGGATTATCTAGGAGAGAGGGAAAATTATAACGTTTTTGAGTAAAGATCTCCTCAAATTTAATGCTTGGATGCTGCTCGGATCTGTGCACTGGATGCTTTAAATAAAAATGACCTGTGTGTGAGGTATATCCACATGCAATGTACAGTTTCCATGATCCACAGTGTGATTTCCGTCTGGTTCAAGGTGGACTTCCATAAACCCATTCCTAAGCAATAATTGGGAAAGTAAATGAGAATAGTTCGCTTAAATGTTTTGATTAAATACGCAACAGGCAGGAAGCATGTTTAAAAGAAGGGATTTGTCATGCGCAGTATCACCGAGTGTTCAGTCTGGAGTGGCCATTTTTTTGTTACAGCGAGTTGTTGAAAAGGCAACACAAGCGTGCCAAACAGGGTTATTTTTTTTTTTCAAAAATTTCATTTCACGTGTTGGTGACACACAGTTCATGATGGTGATGGAGGAGGGGAGGTAGAGGGGGGCGGGGCCTACACTGCACGGAGCAGACACTTACTGCATTCTTCTGGCTCATCTGATCCATCATAGCAATTCTCCACCCCGTTGCAATAGGCATAGCCGGGTAGACACCGGAAAGTATCACTACACTTCACCATACTGGATGGGCAAGGGGTCGTCTCTGAAAAACAAAAAGTGCTTCATTGTTAAACAAAGTAGGATTACAAGGATGGACACTTAACGCCTATTCTAAACTGCAAGTGCAATTAGTTTATGGCTTTTGTTATTTCAATGAACTTTCTCAAGAACAATTAGTAAACTGAGAGCATGGATGTCTGTCGTTATACTTTCGATACATTACATGTACGTAATAAATGAAGTATACATGCAAAAAGCCTCTTTTTCAGTGTATTTCAAGCCTTGCTTTTTCACTGACTAAGGGTCTCCTAGGTACTGCAAGCATGGAGGAAAATTTGCATCAACACCTGTTCGTACTTTAGGCAAATGCAAAAGCAAAGCAAATTTGACGTGGTAAAAAATTTGTGGCAAAACTTCTCTCACGTTGAAATGTGCTTGACTTTTACGAAACTGCAACATAAATATGTGATCTGATTTAATTTGATTCACATTCTTGTGCATTTCTGGATGAATAACAAACCGGCCTTGAGAGTGACTTACGGCAGAAGGTGCGGTTTTCATCCGAAAAATCACCACAGTCGTTGTCGCCGTCACAACGCCACTGGGGGTGAATGCAGGCATTGTTGGTACCTGCCGATGTGGTCGGGCACTTCTCAAAATCCAGCTGGCACTCAGTTTGAACTAGAGAGAACAAACATGGAGACACAGGGTCATATCCATGAAAGGGAAATCAGAAAAAATAATATGTGAGCCAACCAAACAAAACGTATGGCACGTCACTGCAGCCAATTTGAGTTAAAAGCAAAGGGAATCCTGTACAATGGAAAACCATAGGAACCTGCAACTTTTTTCCCCTGCATCATGTTCATTTTCATTGCGATGCCAAACAAGGTGACTGATACATCATATAACAACTATTTCATTCAAATATAAATAGCAAATTTCATACAGACTTGTTCAAATGCACTATACAATGAAGACATTAAACGTGGTCGAGCGAATGGCATACAAATGGCCCACATCCACCAATATCATCTTCTACAGAGAGGAGACAAGAAGCAGTTACAGTTTTAGAGGTGAGAGGAAAACCCCAGAGAAGAAATTTCCCCCGTAAAACCCACGGAATCAGGTGGAGACTGAAAACCCAATCCACATGTGGACTGGGCCAGGAATCAAGCCCGAGCCGCAGAGGTGAAAGAGGAGGAAAGAATTACTTCACTAACTCGACTCCCCGTCGGGTTATACAAAGCAGAGAACTCAAGCTGGGTCTGAAACAGGCTTTCAGAACTATGGCCAGGTCTATGGCCCCCTGTGGTTTTCCAATGGAGTGAAGACCTTCACTTAGCTTTAGACAACAGATTCGGATGAATCTAATGAAGCTAATAGTAGATTTTTTTTTTAAGTGGCCTCAAAACTCATTCTGTGGGATCCAGTCAGAAATATACTTGCATTACAACTAGTTTATTTGAGGTGTTGATAAGGCTTTTTAAAGTTTTGAGTTTTGAAACTGTCATACTGCTGGGACAACCAGCTCTTCAGAATACAAAAAATAAAAACATAGGCACAAGGTATACAATCTTTTACCATAGCCTAAATCCAGCAACATTTCACTGGAAATTCCCTATGATGTGCTGCGTTATGCATGAAGAGACTGTCACGGAATAGTGGCTCCGTATAGTAATGATCACAATGATTTTATCCCCATGAACAGCATCGCTAGATCCATCCACAGGTTATTTGGAAAGAATGCACATAAATGTTCCCATAAGAATGTGTAAACCTTTTCAATACTTTGTATCCATCCTTGGTGCATGCAAGGAATGGAATGCTAAAAGGGAGTCTTCACTAAAAAAAAAAATGGTACCAACAGCTCACAAATATTATAAAGAGGCGGGGGGACACAGAATTCTTACCTAGGCAGTTGCGCTCGTCTGAAGCTGTGCCGTCCACACAGTCAACATAACCGTCACAAACATGGAGCTGAGTCAGGCAAACACCTCCACACACAAAGTCACAGGATTGGGATGCTGGAGACAGAAAAAGAGGAACAAGCTAGAACCAACTCCTGGCTAATTGTTTCAAGTAAAACCAAAAGAACTGAATTGCGTCCAGACAATTAACAGTTTATTAGTTAATTAGCATAGGCGGGAACACCAGAACTAGCTTTGTCTCTCCACACATGTCTGTTTGGATAAGGACAACAAAAACAACTGAAACAAATTAAAAAATTAATGCAATAATATGCGACATTTCTGTTTGAAAAGAACGCTTTGCCACCAAGCTTCATACATTACCTTTCTTTAGACTGGGCCCAAGTTGGCTTGTTAATTATTCTATTTATGCAACACAAACCACGTAAGGTGGATTACATTTCTTAGAAAAACAGGGCTGCTTTCCCGAAATTTGAGTTTGGAAAATGAGTCTGACAAATTTTGACTAATTCTAACCGCCTTCATTTACAAGTAGAAGTAAACTGCAAGGTCCTCTTTATTTAGAGAAGTGGTTGTCGTGGTGTAAAACAGAACAAGTTCAAGCCTGCAGAAGACAGTTATAATTAACTAATGCCCATGATGTCATGATGTCATTTATCAAGAAATATTTCCACAGGTTCAATCTTTGTCACAAACATGGAAGACACCGGCCAAATCTCAATGCTTTCACAAGTTAAAGCCAAGTAAAAACTTGCTTGATCTTTCCTGTCAGCGTCCTTTTATAAAGCTGGGTCTTATATAAAAGAAATTTTATCAACGCAGCTGTCTAAATTCAAAAGAGTGAAACTTCCCTCCATTTGTGTGAAATTCACTCACCTCGACTGAAATTAGGGACCCAACAATTGGAGTGATATTTATTCACTACAATAATTTGGAATTTCACTTAAATTTCCGCTACTGTTTTCTTTTTTTACTATTTCAATCTAAACTGAGAGTGATTTTCACCCTAAAACGTCTAGTCCTAGTTCCACTCTTTGGTGTCAAAAGGGTGGTTTTCCTTAAAATCTTCAATTTTGTTGAAGAGAAAGTATAATTGAACAAATATGCACACTGGGTTGAAATGCAATAGGGTGTATATTATGGTTTCATGAGTCAAATACTCAACAAGCAGGCAGTCATTTAAAACTGAAATATTTGAACTCCATAACAAATGTTCACAGGCCCAAAAAATGGAGGCTATTATGTGAAAACTTAGATAGGCAACCACTTCCCCAATCTCCAAAATCCAGATATAGATTAATGGTTTTTACTTGGTCCAACAAATGTGATATACATGTATTTATAGACAAAAACATAAAACAATTTTCAAAAATGACAGCATTTCCATACAACTAGAGACCAGAACCATTTCTACAGAAAGATTTCTACAAAGAGCTTATCCTTGAAGGTAGAGTGGAGCATTTGTCGTAAGTACACATATCTTTCAACTGCAATGACAAAACTTCCTCAAGATAGGTACTCCACAACTAGTGAGCTCAAGTTTCATCTTCACGAATACATTACACATTTTGTAAGAAACCATAGTGTTTCCGGGTCTTTGAAATTTAAAGTAGCCCTGCCATGTTTTACATTGCATCCAACAAACCGAAAACTGGAATGTAGGCAGTGTGGGAACACTACAACTGTAGATGGCTCGCTGACTAATAGAACTTTGCATGTTCCATCATAGGGTTTTGTTTTTAACTTCCTGTATTTTTATGTGCTTGCAGAGTGAAGCGTTTTCAATCTTGGTGGTTTGCTGTGATAAGAATGATCTTTTTGAACTTTATAAGGTCGTTCTACCAGGATATTTTGAAAATAGTGAGAGAAAAAGGTGTTAAACCAAGAAAACAGATACCAGGTGTTATATGTCTGGATGGATTACCTGTAAAAAAGTGAATCACCAAAGAGGTTCCTTTTTTGTGTGCGAGAATTTAAAGCGAACTTCCTTATTCATTGGAAAACCTCACAGAAAATGCAGACAAAGGCATACAGGAAAAATAAATTCTAACAAAAGGTCTTTGCTTTGTAAAATGGGGCAAAACTCTGGGGGACCTCCTACAGGTTTGATCATTACGAAATTCATACACTCAACCCCAGTTGTTTTGCAATTCCCCTTATGGTGTTGCATGAATGACCAAGCACTTCTGTGGGGGGGGGACTCTGACATATTTTGTTCAACCCAGTGCCTTCTGCTTTGTCCAAACAAGAAAAAAAGGAGCACCATGAAAGTTGACTTTTTCACAAAGAAAGAATTCATTAATGTGATATAAAGGCAGACATTTTCTTTGAAGTATTTTTCCAGCTGAAAATGGGGATTTCCGTAAAAGAATTTTTTCATTTATATTCCAATCTGATCACGTCATCAAGAAATGGAATAAATAAACAATTGATTATACTAATAAAATGGGCCACATTGGCAAGTTGACATGACTTTTCTTGCCAAACGCGGGGGAATATCCAGCAATTATGAAAAGGGGAACGTACACCCAAAAAAGGATGTAAAAAATCAAACACAGTGGGGCATTTGTGGCAACTTTCATGAAAATCTCGGTCTTTTTAAGTTATTAAGTTTGACAGCAAAAAACATTCTGGAACAAGACATGTGTCCTTAAAAAAATAACCAAAATTAAAAATCTTCAATTTTATTTAAAAATCAGTTTAAGTAATAAATGCTTTTATTTCCTTCTCATTTTCCTGTATGGTCCAATGGCACAATTCCCCTATTCAGCTTGCCCTATATAGTGACACCTTTGATCCCACACAGATTTATGTTCACTTCCTAACCTACATGTATTAAGAAACTTCCAGAATTGCACATTGGGTTGCAAGGGATGGGGGAAAAATGGCTTGAAGTGGGAAAGTAATAACACCTTATTTTTTTGAGAAAAAAATTATGTATACATTTGCCTATTTGTAAGCATGACACTGTAATGAAAAAAGGTCACACAGGCGTGCTTATGTAAACAGGGGTGAAATGTGTTTAGGCACAAACGTAGGGTGTGGACATCGAGTAAGGTGCACTTGCTATTTATTCGGTGGTATTCACTGGCTATGACAGACGGCCGACCAACGTCATGCTTCACCTGACAAACTACAATGAACCTTGTTTAGGCTCATGACTAGGCGTTCTGGTGCTTCCACACTGCATGTATACCCATATTTGGAATAAAAGCTGAAATGCACAGTCTGCATATAGGGAATATCCTGGCTACAGATTCAGTGGATGAATGCCTCGATGTGAATATGCTGGGTCATGGTTTGGGGGGAGGGGTGGAATACATTGGTATTTCCAAAGACATATAACCAACTTTTCAGATTTGGTCAGGTAATTTTGGATGTGTGCAGCTGTGAGAACAATTAATTGACTTGATGTCCAGTTATTTTAATATTCAAAGACTCTGTTTCATTTCAAATTTGATACAAATATAAAGACAACACCCGAAAACTGCATTGGGGTGAACAGAATACACTTCTCTAGCCTTCAATGGAAAGACCATGATAAGATCTTCTGATAAGTAATAGCGTATCTTGATCAAACAAAACAAGTCATCTCCCCTCAGCCTAAGTGAGGCAAAAGCTCTATCAAACCAGGCTCTCGTCTGTATTCTAATAGGTCAAGCAAAAGTGCATTTGAACCTTAAAGCAAGAGCCAGTGGCCACATGTCTAAATCTTCCTGGTTGTTGCCTTGTGGGGCATGTCCATTGAAACCCAACATTCATTAATTGTTCCTGGAGAAAGTGAGCGTGAAGTTGAATTGCAATTTGCAATGGCATTCTGTGCAGTAAATACATAATGCTCACAACTGATCAATGTATGCATGTTCAGAATATAAAACTAACTATTAGGAAATCTGAGAATAATTAATCACTTAATAATAAAATGTCTTATCTTTGCTTGCCCACTGAGAAACATGTACAGAGTAGTACACCTTAATATCACTATCCCACATAAAGTTTCACTAATCAGTAGGACTATTTGTATGGCAAGTCTGAAGCATTCGAATAAAACGGAAGTACTGCAACATTTTGCCTTTTTTTGTATCTAACTTGATGTGTCTGTGTGGCAATAATGGACTCACTTGTGAGCTAACAACTTCAAAGTCAGGCGTAAAAAAAATAGATGAAATAAAGTCAAGTACAGAAAAACTACCCTGCCAGTGCATGTACTTTTCCCAATGTCATCAGCCCCAATTCAATATTTCCCGGACTTCGCATTAATCTACAAAGCCTTTGTTGACGTAAATGACAGAGCTTTTGTTGTTGCCATGAATAAATGTCTCTGCAGTCAATCCTATTTACACAAGTTCCTAGATCTGGACCCAATTCTACACTTGTTAACTACATGGGGGGAAGTCTTTTGTTGCAGTACTGGGTGGAAAATCAAGTCCAGAATCAGCTTTGATAAAGGAGAAAAGCTGGATTGGGAATAATGGGGAAGGCTTCACAATCTCAGTAAATAGTGGTATCAGTTATGTGAGTACATTTTTCAATGGGAGGGTGCAAAGTTGTATGTCGACAAGATTTATGTTAGATTTTTTTTTCAACTGCATTATGGGGCCCGGCTAAAGTACAAGCAGGTGTGCTCTTTGCTAAACTGAGATTTGCACTGTATGATAACATTGTGAAGAAAAAAATAGGGTTTTGCAAGTGTTTAATAAATAACAAACACTGGTGAGGTAGTGGAGCAGAGGTATTTTCCAACCCCAACCCTGCCTAACCCCCCCCCCAATTTGCTTTGCAGGTGGAGGTAAATTTTGCCAGCCCATTTCTCTGCTTCCTTTGCTGTAACTGTTTGAGGAGGTCACTTTCAAATTTCAACATTACTTTGGAGTGATTCATTAGCAAATTTGATCCTAAAGTAGCAATGGTTCAATTAACACTGATCAAATGCAAGTTGGCCCAATCTACACTTTGGAACCAGACCTGTACTGGGGTTGGTCAAATGATTGGTTTCAATAAAGTGAATAAACACACCAGCACACAACCAGGACTGTGGGTTGCTAAGATCACAGCTCCACTGGCTAGGGACATTTGAAAGAAAAATATAACAGCAA